CGGTTTGTCGGTCAGCTGAGCGAATCGGTCGCCATCTTTAAATTTTGTTTACACTATAGCTATCTCTCATTGGACCTTTAAATCACGTGACTTCAAATGTCACGTGATATTAGTGACTTAGCCCCCTTTTCCATTGTAAACATTGGACTCTGCTCCTTTTTCCATTGTAAACGGATTTTTCGTTTCCATTTTTCTTATGGACTTGGCCATTTTTTCTCCTTTAAACTTAATTCAGCACCTTCTATTTTTAACTGGCTATAAGTCAGGGGTGATAATTAAAAAATGCACTCTGCCGTTTTTTCCCTTGAGGTCTTCTAATTAGGAATGTGCAAGACTTTACCCTAACCTAATCAGTGAAACTAACCATTCCAATACGGTCTTTTGATATTTTTTACATGCACTTGCAGGATTTATCTTTATATAAATTGCATTCAAGGGATCAAGATACTAATATTTATTATTGGAAGGGGGATTAGGATGATGCTAGGTGTTAAGAGAAAATGTAAAGATGTGTTTATTATGGCATGTAATTGACTAGGACAGAGCCTCCCAGACTGTGTCCTGCTACAACCTGAAGTGTTAAAAAATTAATGGACTTGATAAAAGCCAATTATAATTAAGTTGGTATTTTTCATTAGTTCTCCAACCTACTTGGTACTCTGTACTTATTAAAGTAGCAGTTGGTTTTGTGCAGCATCTATGCAGTATCAATTAAATATTGTTTTGATAAAGTCAAGTGAAGTTAATGAGGTATGTCTTCTTGTATAAGTATAAGGTTTCAAAAATGGATTAGATTGTTTAAAAAGTGCTATTTTACAGTGCACAAAGAATGTGGCTTAGAGCAAAATTGAAAAGACGTGGGTGCAGCAACGGTGCTGTGACTTCAAAACGCTTGGGAAACTCTGGACTAGGATATTTGAAATTCATTTACTAACACCATTTCTGGTAGGAGAGCTGGTCACCCGAAAGCTTTTTCGTTAACCCTCTTGGGACGTAACCCTCTTGATCTCTCGCTGACTAGCAGTGAATCTGACACTGACGAAAACAATCAGGAAAGTAATGAAGACAATCAAAATGATGTTTATGATAAGTTGTGAATCCTTGGATTAGGATTAGTGGTTCTGAATTGGATAGAGATGATCCCTATGAATTTTTAGAAAAAAATAGAGCCTTTAAATATGCCTCATGGGATAAGCACCCCATTTGAGTACTTATGCTAATTTTTACACAATATATCATTAAAATGTTTGTGAGAGAGAATAATAATAATAACTAATAAGTATGCAGACAACTTTCTCAGTAACACCCAGCTCAAATAAACCATATTTGGATGCACAATGGTGAAAAGGACCGCTCTGTCTAAAGCAACCGAAAAGTACCCCGAGGGCAGGAAAAGGAGTAGAACTCTGTGCCAGGGGTGTCTCAAGGGCCTCCATGGGCCTTATTTCCCAAAACACATGTGTTAGGATCCATTCATGCTTCATCCATCAAAAAATTCACATAATTTAATAATTTACACCGGTAAGTCATGTTTATTCTCAGTCGAAATCGACGAGTCTGTTTACATGCAAGAAAAATCATGTCTGGCGAGTTTTGCCACAGCAATTGGTCTTTGGAGGCATTTGTCAGGAGATTAGTGAGTGTTTCATGTTTTGTGTACAAGATAGATCCGCAGCTACACATCACACTTATGCCGATAATCACAGCACACATCCTGCTGGGCACAACAGTCATATCAGATCAATGGAGAGCATATAATGCAAATGGCACCACTCCGGGATTGACTCATCAAGCGGTCATTCATTCTGTTAAGTTTTTGGATCCAAACTCAGGTGCCAATAGCCAATACCCAAAGCATCGAACGTTTGTGGAAATCTGCACAAGAGAGAAACAAGCGCCACAATGGCACACACAGACATATGCTCGATTTGTATATGTGTATTCATGTGGATATGTGGCATCAACGTGTTAAAGTACATGATTTTATGCCTTCAACTCCATTCTAGACGAAATTGTTCAATTTTGGCCACTACAGTAGCGGAGGACCTTTAAAGAAGTAAGTATGTTTTTATTCAAAATAACATTTGTTTTATTGGAAGTGTGAAGTGTTTTAATGGAAATGTGAAATAATGTATAATAATTTTTGAATTAAAAGTTTTTTAGGCCTAAGCCTAGGCTAATTCAGAATTCAGATTGATCAGGTTTAGGGATACATTTTAGGGTTCATGTTAGGTTTAGGGATACATTTAGGGTTCAGGTTAGTTTAGGGATACATTTAGGACATAAGTTCGTGGGTCACGATAACCAAGATGGCGGCCGCGGGCTGTAATAATAATAATTTTTGCGGTGAATTAAAATATCCACTTCTGATATAGGGTCCGAATAGCCGTAGCCAAAATTCTCATTACAATTACAGATAAGACAGTAGCCGAATTGCCGCCAAAAAAAAAAAAAGCAGCTTTGAATCTTGATTGATGTCATGTTAATGATTATAGAACTATATTTAAAATAGAATTTAAAAATACAATAAAATTATTAACATAAACGTATTCTTACTTGCTTTTAGATATACGCAAATTGTTCTTCGTGTTTCAACAACGCCAAATGAAATTCTTCCAAATGTGGCACATTGCTCGATTGATAATAATGGCTCTAAGGCAAATCAACAGGAAGTATTCGTCATAACTATCATGTGACCAACCGAATAATCTAAAGCCCTCACGTGACCAGCCGGATCCGAATAGCCAGTTGCTGCTATGGATACCCTGGTACCTATAAGCCACTCCGTTTTAAAATAGCGAAATAAGCGAACTTAGCGGGTTTTGATTTTAAAAACTAGTAAAATATTGTGAAATAGCACTTCATAGATGAGCCAAGGGGACTAACTCATTTTTTTCAAAAAATCGACTTAGCAGGGTTTGCAATTGGACTCCTCATATATTAATACCAAATATGATGTGCTCGGGCGATTCTCAGTACACGAATCAAACTGGTAAAAATTAAAAACAAAAAAAATACTTTTTTCATTTATAGAGTTAACAAAATAATATTTCACCATATGTTCTTATATCTTTTATTTAAATGTAAAAAAAATATTTTTGAATCCAAATATATCAAACCCAGAAATACTCAAAAATAAATATTTTCGCCGATGCCCCGCTATGACCGCCCTTTAACATTTGAGCACGATTGTCCTACAGCACAAGGTCTTTTGCATGCTGTCTGTGATTTCACTTTCTCGGCTACATTTCCATTTGGGCGGATCTACTTGAGGAAGTTAATCTTCCACAGCAGTATCTGCAAACTAAAGGCTTTACTCTTGAGGAGGAGGTGACCAACCTAGAGGCCTTAAGATTGTTTCTGCACGAAAAGCGCTGTCACCTGGTGGAACGTGATCTTGAAAAAAAAAATAAGACAAATATGGAATTCATTTAGATGGAAGATTAAGGTTTAAGAAGAGAATGGCAGAAAAACAATTAAGAGATGCTGCCAGGAGAAAACATTACGGATATTTTGGAGTGTATTGATAGCTTTTATTCTGAACCCGAGATCAGATCGTCAGCGACCAAGGAAGAAAACATATGTTTGGGGCTGTTCAACCCAAGAGTCTAGCATCAGCAAGTGAAGAGGAGTTATAGGTGTCCGTTACAAAAGTAAACTCTTTCTATGATGAGCTCTCAGAAGATGAACGCTAAGAAGAAATGCCAAGGCTTAGAAGACACCTAAAGGCAGCTGATATTGAATTTCACAAAGTCATGGACTGGTCAGTATTTGGTGTTTTGAAATTCATAGCTGAATGGGAGTTCCTAGAATCTCTTCCAATACTCTCGTTAAGCCTTCAATTGTTTCTTACGATCTGTGACTGTGGCTTAATGTGAGCGGAGCTATTTACAAACTAAGGCTTATCAAGAACTATTAACAGTCCACCCTGTGACAGTCCAGGCTTTCTAATTTGAATCTCCTATCAATTGAAAGTGATACTGTGAAGGATATTGATTTTGATCAAGTGATTGGCAGGTTTGCAACTCTGAAGACAGGGGAACATGTTCAATAAAGTAAATTTAATTTAAAAATAGCTATAACGTAACGTCTTTGTAGTTCTTAAAAGCCTTGACCTCCTGACCTTCAGTTAATTTGTTTTTGCTCTTGTCATTGTTATACTGTGGACCTATTTTAACAAGAGGAAATCCATCGTGGAAGTCGGGGGTAAGGGGAGGGGATGACAACATGAGTTTACCGCACCGGGCGACACCAACTCTAGCTACGCCACTATCGCAAATTTACGACATTGTTAAGAGTGTATATTAATTAACAGTTCATTTCAAGAAAGATATGCTTTTCTTGTTTAAAAGAAAATGTTGGATTCTTTCTGAATTTTTCGGCGATTCCAACTCTTCCGCAATAGTTCTTTCTATCGATATTAAAGCAAACAAACAGACACACTTAAACGATTTATTTAATTTTAGTTTTAGCTGGAAAGAGCTTCTCTCAGCACTTGTAAATGTTATTTTGAGTGATAGCATAATTGTCACATTCACATTTGGAAAAAAAGAACAATCAAGCCCATCATTCGAACTATGGCGACTATGTAATGCATTATGTATAGTTTAAAACTTCTCTGGGACTTGATTTTTCTGTTCGTCTTCTTGATAAAGCAATTATCTCACACAGTTCTGATGCATGTAACTTTTCAGAGTTGCTATTCTGCTTAATTATTTTAAAATATTTTTTCTTTACCAAATGGACAGTGTAAATCAGTGTAAAATGGAACACCGTTAAGCGATAGCTATCGGTCTTTAACCACACCCAAAGTTGCTATTTATAAATTATAGAATGCTCTCCCTTGATAATGCGTCATCAAGTTTTGCGTACCTGATTCAATTTGTTTACACACCGATCGATCCACTTACCATTTTCTATTTTGGCTGTCTTGTATAAAGTAAGAGACAATAACCATGGATGCGTACAATTTTTATTTGTCAACTCTAAGATATATAATGAATGCTAAAAGTAATGACAAGGCCACTTGGTGTGACATTTTTAAGTATCTACCTTGTCTCCGTCAAATGCTCTCATGTTGTGTATGCGGAAGCATCTTGCTTCGTCCCCATGGACCAACCCATGGCGTTTGTTTACATCATGTCTGCCAGCGTTGCGTAGGTGGACGAATGCGGTTAAAACCATCATGCAGCTGGTGTAAAGATCATACTAATTTTAAGGAAAATAGAAAGCTTCGAATACTGATAATGTGTTTCAAACGTTTGTGCACATATGTTTTAAGCTCGAATTTAGGAATTGAGATTTCAAAAGCATCAATAAATGGATATGGAAGTGAAGCGGAAAGGACACTAAACGTCCTGAAAGAAGCTGAACAATTTGATGATGACTATGTTCTTACCCCACCGCCTTCAGAGCTGCCAACTGTTTCCAAGACAGTTTCAGGGGGGAAAAGATCATCCACCTCAAATGAATTTTATGACTCCACTGGAGTAGCTGATGGAAATGTAATATTTAAGCGAAAAAGAGGAAGACCTAAAATGAATGTGAAGCCTGACATGAAGAAAAGTAATCTCACAGAGCACGCAAAAAGATTAAAGAAGAAAGCTTTGAATTCGAGATCTCAAAATAGCACAAAGAAGAGACTAATAAAATCCTTTTCCAAAAATGAGCATCATGAAAGTTATAAAAAAACACCACCAAGTAATTCAGGCCTTCTAATTTCTCAGAGGCCCCATCGTCATAGGTCAGGAAAATTTAGTGTTGGTCAACTTTGGCGAGAAACCTTTCTTGAAGAAACTCAGACTGAATCATATCCTGACTCTGGGATAGAGGTTGGTAATTCAAGTGATCTTGACCATAATTCACATCCTCCATCAACGGCCAAACAATCTGGTGAGACAGCAGACCCTGCTGCAAAAAAGCAGGATGTCATTCGAAAAGAGACTAGGCTTCATAAGAATAATGACACTGAAAGGAATGGAGCCTTGTCTGTCAATGATGGAGTAGAGAAACCACGACTTACTTTGACTATATCAACTAAGAGGTTTCATAACAATAATTTAAAGCGCCAGTTCAATAAATCTCCTAGTCCAACCAAAACTAGAGACCTCTCTTTCAGGGCTGGGGCTATAAATTCTCTGGAATTTCTGCCTGGTCAGAAAAAGTTGAATTCAAAACTGTCTGCACCTGTTAATGTTAAGTCAACAAAACAACATTCAGATATTTGTAAATGTGCAAGATTCAAACAGCCCAATCGCTTGACCTGTTTTGGGCAGAAATGTCCATGCTACAGTGAGCGTAGACCATGTGTTGACTGCTTGTGTAATGGTTGTAAAAACCCACTAAAAACTCCAGACACAGCTCCACCGTTAATGCACATCATCAAAGATGTTGATAGTCTTGACCACAGTCACGATCGCAGTATGCCACGCTTGTCTCCAATACCACGCATATAATAGTCATGAAACATCAAACAATTTTTTAAAATGTAACATTCATGTGGAAATGTTCGGTTTTTCATTTTCAACTGTTGATGATATGTTCATGTTGTTACTCCTATTGTTGTTGCAGTTTGCTTGTCAATGCACTTTCCTCCAATTTGTTCTTTCATTCATCATTTAAAAAATTTGTTGGATGAGACTGGTGAAATGAAATTATGGCCCTGTACAATTTTTTTGAGGATTTACAGCACATAACAATGTTGTAAACATACATGTACTTTTATTTTACCCCCATGACATTGTTTACATTTAATGTATTAAATGACTAATTCCATGTTTTATTTTGGAATCTGATCCTCATTAGCATTTGATTTATAGAAGACAATAAGTTTTTAACCCAGTATGATTTTGTAATCTCAACATTATTCTTCTCTAATTATACATATTTAAAGTAAACACACAATAAGCTATCCATCTTTCTTTTACGACTGTTTAAAGTATTTGTTTGAGAGACATTTATGTTATTAAATGTTATTCCCTCCAACCTAGTTATTTTATAATGCTAAACTATAACTACATGCAGTTTACAATGTTGCAACTTTTGTTATTTATTTTTTTTTTAGAATTTAACAGCCCCAATACTAATTTATCTATTACAATTTTTACATCTGAGTTTAGTGAAAATACTTAAGGTGTACTTTTTAACTCCTAAAGCCACTTCACCATTTGTGTTAATCCATTTTTTTAAAAGACTTAAATTTAAAAATTAAGTGCTAGTTTAAAAAGGATTTCTGGCCTTCCAACTGTAAAATAAAATTAGGTGATTCTAGGGATGCACCAATAAACAAATGAGGCAATTACACATTGCTTAAAAAGTTCACAAAGAATACTTCAGTTCTAACATTTGAGTCAATTTAATTCTGAAAATTCTAAATTTTGTTTTTTTTCTGGTTTTGTATTGGATATTTTGCACTTTCACCATCTTTAAACATACAATTTAGAGGCCGACCGAAAGTGATTTTCTGATTTCGGCCGAAGCCGAATTTAGGCCGAAAGTTTAAAATGACTTTTGGCCGAAACCGAAAAAAGGCCGAAAGTTTTAAAATGAATTTCGGCCGAAACCGAAAAAAGGCCGAAAGTTAAAAATGAATTTTGGCCGAAACCGAAGCCAAAACCGAAAATGAAATATTTTGATATTTTGAAATTCGTTCCCGCATACATTTTGCATTCTTCGAAAATGATGTGGGAAAGTATAAATATTTACATTCTTTTTATAAAAATGAGATAATTGTGAATATTAATAAATAAACATCTAATATAGGGGTCTCAAACTCGCGGCCCAAGAGCCATTTGTGACCCCCAAGATGATATTTTGCTGCCCGCTACATGACAGAAAAGTTTAGTGTAAATGCGCCGGCCCGTATCCCCCCATTCTCATAGCTATAGCGTGACTCTCCGCGACGGTGTCAGTCGAATCTCACCAACTAGTCTAATTCTATTTTTTTTTTTTTTTGGTAATGTTTCTATATATTTTTTAATGCAACAATGAGTAGGTTCTTGAAAGTGAATCCTAGTTCTTGAGAACCCTTAATGATTTTATTGTTATTTATAAAGGTTGAGCAGATTGTAACAGTTGTAGTCGCTTTTTTTGTGGATTACTTGATGCGGCCCACTCTCATTCAGACACTACCTCCTG